TTGAGCTTGTGTTTATGGCCCCAGACTCTGAGAATTAAATCCCTGTTGCTTGGACCACACAGTCGGTGGTGTTTTGTATGACAGCCCAAGGACACTAACAACACGGGTGCAGTCCACACCACAGAACACAAACCCTGCCTCTCTCCCCTTCTTCCTGGACCTTCCCCTCCCTCCCAGCACCCAGGGAACCCCCAAGTATGGCTCCTCCCACTCCCACTTGACCCCTCTAGCAGCTCCTACATAGAGCCTTTTCCCACCCTCAACCCAAAACCTACCAGTCCTGTGTGTACAGCCTCGTGTGGAGAGAGGAGGAGCCAAGGGAATGGAGGGGGAGGGGTGCTGCTCCCGTGAAGGGCAGCTGGAGCCCACGAGGAAGCTCAGCATCCTCAGACAGACTCTGCTGTCATATCCACAGCCCATCGCCCCAGGCAGGTGCCCCTCACCTTCCAGACAACGGGGAGGGGAAAGGCAGCATCCACGCAATGGGATGCCCAGCTGCTCTGACAAGAGGCCGCCCCACCCAGCTCCCAGCTCAGTGCAGGGGTGGCAGCAGCACAGGCGGGGACACATGGTGCCACCTGGACACCGCTCCCTCCACCAGGCACTGGAGAGGCACGACCAGCACCACACAGCAGGTGTGCACAGGCCTCACTTGCACCTGTGTGTGCCTGCAGACCCTGCATGTCATCAATGGCTAGCTTCATTCAAATCATGTTCTCTCACCTCGCCAAGCCCCACAGAGCACATATGATCACGCGGGCTCATCAGTTTTCTTAGGACACGTGTCTGCTGCCTGCAGAGTCTCTTTGTTGATCACCCCAAGGGTGGCTGGTTGTCGTCCTACTACGTGCAAACCATACTTGGCGTCTATGATCCAAGCTACAGAGCACCCTCCTGTTCTGGCCCTACCATGTCTTACCAGGTCCCTGAGCGGGTGAAGTTGTTGGCATCGGTGGTTCCGTTGTAGAGTTGTGCCCACGTGAATTCCTGGTTGGGTTATTGAATGATGGCTATGAGCTGGCACAAGGGGAAGCTGGTGACAGACACTTAGCCACCACAAGCAGTCTGCAGCTCTTTGAAGCCTCAAATCAATTAAAAAGTTAGAATAAAACAACACAAGCTTTGGAGTTAGCCTAAAAATGAGAATAAAGAAAATATTAACGCTGCTGCTGTCTTCTGGCACAGGGATTGAGGGACCAGCCTCCAGTTGTGGAAAGAAAGTGTCCCTCCAGGGTCAGTGCCGCTGGGCCTCCCCATCTGGTCTGTGGCTGCTGAGGCTGGTCAGGTGCCCACGTCCATGCAGATGGGGACAGTTCAGAGGTTCCATCCTGGGAAGTGTCTAGGATCAGACCAGGAGCAGGACCAGCCTTCTGCTCACGTTCCATGGCTATACTCCGGTGACCACACCTGAGTGACAGGGCGTGGCGATGGCACCGTGTGTGACGGGCTCTGCCCCGTCACTGGCCAGCGAGGCTGCAGACAGGGCCCTGCTCCGGGCGGTGACCTGGTGATCATGTGTCGTGATAAGATCACAGAGTCACAGGTGAGCGGTGACGCGTCTAATGCTCTTTTTATTTTTTAACATATTTTTACTGATTTCAGAGAGGAAGGAAGAGGGAGAGAGAAAAGCATCAATGATGAGAGAGAATCATTGACCGGCTGCCTCTTGCACATCCCACAATGGGATCGAGCCTGTGACCAGGAATCGAACCGTGATCTCCTGGTTCATAGGTCGATGCTCAACCACTGAGCCACATTAGCCGGGCTGGTCTTAATCTGAGTCATGAGGGCTAAGAAGTAAAGATGCTGCAAATTCAGAAACAGCCAACAAAACTCAGTGTGAGACAAGAGCTAGGGCGAGAGGACGTGCAGGGCTGCGTCTGCACTGGCTAGACTCTGGGATTGGGGAGAGGGGGAGCGGGGGGGGGGGTCGCAGTATCTACACTGGCTGGACTCCGGGATTAGGGAGGGGGGGAGCGGGGGGGGGGCGCAGTATCTACACTGGCTGGACTCCGGGATTGGGGAGGGGGGGAGTGGGGGGGGCGCAGTATCTACACTGGCTGGACTCCGGGATTGGGGAGGGGGGGAGTGGGGGGGGCACAGTATCTACACTGGCTGGACTCCAGAATGGGGCGGGGGGGGGGGGGGCCAACGTGCACTAAGCCCTGTCACAGCCAAGTCCGCTTGTTGTTATCAGTGAACATGACCACCCTGTGAGCTCAAGACTCTGAGATGACAAGTTCCTGGGAGGCCTCAAAAGCACAAAAAGATCCAGGCCCTGTCCCCCAGGCCCTACACTCAGCTCGGATTCCCGCTGACACATGGGAAATGAGCACACAGGTCCGACCCCAGGGTGCTGAGGCCTCCAGACCAGCCCTCCAGGGCGTCCCTGCAGGGCCTGGGGCGGGGAGGGGGGCCTTTCCCTTCGCCCGACAGCTTCTGAGAACTCCTGCAGGAAGCTGACATTCTGCTGGAAAGACCCAGGATGCCTCCTTTCATGCGTTTCCACTTTTCCTCGAGAACCCCTGACTATGGACAACCCGAACTTCACTTGGTCACTGGACTAGTTACTCCTTAAGCAGACACGATGGAATGGAGGAGAAACTCCGTGCCCACGTCTTCGACCTCAGCGCTGGCCCTTGCGTGGTGGACACTTGCCATGTTCCGCCCAGACCCTGGGGCCTGAGGACACGCTGCCCCTTCACGCCCAGGTCTTAGGGCCATTTCTCCTCCTTTGGGCCCCACATCCCCTTCCAGGACCTTCCCCACAAAGAACTTGAACCCGCGTCCTCTCTTTCCCTTTCTCTCCCAAAGAGGTGACAGGTCCAATGACTGCGCAGTGTGCTCGCAAAGGGTGAGCACACAAGGCCAGCCGCTTAGGGCTCGGCCCAGCCTTTAGCCCCTCATCAGCCCCCCATCAGCCCCCATCAGCCCCCCCATCAACAGGAACAAGCGGCCTCTGTGTGGCGGCTGATGGTGAGGTTAATGATCACCGTCAGGCCTGGGACGGCCACAGGGGCATGCCATCAGACCTGACACGCAGGACGAAGTGCTGAGACCTTGAAAGGCACTCACACTGCAGAGCAGTTTGCTCCGATGCTGACTTGATATTGGAAACCCAGGTTTCCCCTAAGAAAGGCTGGAGAGAGAGGAGAGCAAGCTTTCAGCCCCTGTGAGTGGGAGGGAGAATCCGACCCATTTTCTCGCTTCACAGACCCTTTCTGATTAACCTCTGACCTCCTCCCAGGAGGTGTAGAGAGGGCCCGGCCCCACTTGTTGGTCCCTGTGACTGAAGGCAAGCCCAGCTGACAACAACAAAGCACTTCCTTTGTCCACACATCAGTTAATTTAAAGGGGACGTGTTTACTAACAGCTTATTCTATTTAGTGCAAACACTCGTTTACATTCTTTGCTGCCATCAAAACAAAACAAAAAAGCCTGCAAATACAGCATGCAAACTTCCAAACCCCTAAGCTGGCCCGGCCACGTGATCACTGTGCAGGTCTCAGCCGCCCTTTGTGAGGTGCTGGGACCAGGGCCAGTAGCCACTGAGGCCACTCTGCCCGCAGGGAGACGGCGGTGAGCGCGCAATCAGATCCATCGGCGGCCAGGAAAGCGGCGTTTACAGAAACTGACAATATGCCTAATGATGTATTTAATAGGCAAACAATTGCTTGTAATTTCACAAATAAAATAAGCCAAGATCATTTTTCTTCAGCTTTTACGCAGTTAGAACAGGAAACACTTGTTCCTACCGAAGTCACCCTCTGCATGAAAACTTAACACCAAATTTACAAAAGAAGTAGAGTACAACTTTAATACGACACCTGTTTATATGTTACTTTAAACACAGAGCCATCTTTTAAACTGAATTTACTATAAGGCTTTCATAAAATAAGAATGCATGATCTCATAAAATCAAATCAGTCTTTAATTGTGATAATAAAAATTACATTTAAGTAGTGGTGTCTGTGTTAATAGCTCCATAAAACAGCAGCTGCAAAGCCCGTCGGCCACCTGCGCGCCGATCCCTTTAACGCCGCTGTGATTAAGAGCGGGGATCTGACATGAACTCAAACCGCGCCCTCGCTTGGCGGAACCCCACTCGCAGTGAAGACGCCACAGAGTGAGGCCACATTTCCTCGATTTCAACACAGAGATTCGTGTTGACTGGATCCCAGGTCAAAATGGCAACACTGAGCCGGGACACTAAAAAACCCGCACAGCGTTCTACTGTTCACCTGGAAACGGAGCTGATGTTTCGTGTGTTTTTTCACTGCCCCCAGGAGTAACAGTTTCCCGGTATTGTGCACTGTCATTGTTAATTTGTGGATGAGGGGACTTATAAGTATGATTACATTTGTAATGCCCCATGAAGCAAGCCAGTGAGGACATTGTACTTTGCAAATGCATTTATTTCTAAGAAAGGCTTCTACACCTTTAAATCTTCAAGGTAGCGTTACTTCTGTGCATGAAAGGAGACTATCAGCAAAAAAGAAAAAAGAAAAAAAATGAGGGAAAACAGAATATCAGCAGAGGTAAAGGCAGCCCATGGGATGGGGGGCCGTGTTTGCAAACCACAGACCTCACAGGAGTGTAGATACCCAGCATCTATAAAGAATCCCAACTCAACACCCCGATTCCCAAATGACGAGGAGTTGAATGGACATTTCTCCACAGAAAATGCACAAGTCGCCACTGAGCACGTGAACAGTGCCCTGTCTACTTGAAAGTGAACTCACCTGTTCAGCTTTCCAGTCTTTTCATCCACCTGATTGCTGAGCACAATGACTTACAAAAAGCAAGTTTAGTAGCTCAATTACCATCGATGGCAGCGGCTGGCCTCTGAACTACTCAGTTGACACATCAAGCATATGGTTTTTCTTTTTTAAAAAATATATTTTTATTGATTTCAGAGAGGGAGAGAGATAGAAACATCAATAATGCGAGAGCATCATTGATCAGCTGCCTCCTGCAGGCCTCCCACTGGGGATTGAGCCCACAACCCAGGCATGTGCCCTGATCAGGAATCGAACTGCAATCTCCTGGTTCATAGGTCGACACTCAACCACTGAGCCAGACCGGCTGGGCTGGTTTTTCTTAATTGCTGGAAATAAAGAGACAAAGAGGACCTCTGTGATGACTTCTGGCCACGGGACCCAGGGCTCCCCAAGCCCAGTCCCTCAGCACCACGTCAGTCGCCACGAACCTAGAGGAGGTTACATGGAAAACCATGACTGGGCCAAGAACACCAAGTCTACCTACCCCCACCCGACTGTATAACCTAGTAACCGGGCTGGACGTGGAGATGCCTCTCCTAAAAACAGCTCGGCTGCTTCATGGCTCTGTCTCTGCCTCCCCACCCCCGCCGCCCACTGTGACCTGTTTGCTGTGGCCAGGGCTGCTGGCCCACCCAACGCCCATCCCCTCCTCCGCGTAACAGCCTGGTTTTGGGGGGAACCTCGCTCCCAGGAATGAAAGACCATGCTCCCCATCCTTCCTGGAAACTAGGGGTGGGCTTGTGCCTACATTCCGGCCAGGGTGTGGGGGGGCAGTGACGGAGCCAACCAGCTAAGAAAGGTCTCTTTCTTTCTTCCTTTCTTTCCTCTGTCAAGACGGCAGCAGCTTCAGAAGCTACCTGAGCGGATGCAGTGACCTCAAGAATGCAATCACTCCAGCAGCAGAAAAGGAGGATCTTGAGGGTCAGATTATTTCGGGGAGCTGCCACTCTGGCCCCCCGTCTGCCAGATTCCTTGTGTTTAAGTGACTGTAATCACAGCTTCATTATTTACCGTGAAATGTAACCCCGACATGTCCCCACCCCAATCCTGCCGCCTCCAAGAGGGAAAAAACAGACTGGGACCAGGTCCACCTGAAATCCCAGGTGCTCACAGGCAGCAAGTGTGTCCATTCAGCTTCCAACTCCAAGAAGTCAGCGTGTCCTGCATGTGTGCAACAGCTGGTGAGCACTGTCACACTGACTGTACGAGCTCTGTGATGTTTATGCTTTGACAGACTTACAGGCAGTTCTGTAGCAGTCACGTTGTTCGATACCTCCCCTTGCTACTTCAGTCAATCAACATCGGGACAGTTAACTAGCTTTCGCCCTGACCTACTGCGTCTGCACCACCTACTCCCATCAAAGTGCTCATGTGCATACGAACTAAGGGCCTGCCCTTCCCCCGAGCCCCATGCTGATAATACATCAGACAGAAAATATTCACTTGAAGAGGTTTCAGCAGATTCGAGGTAAAGGTAGTAGTAAAGAATCATAAAGAAAATATTACATATTAAATTTATAGACTTCAGCTAGAGCCATCAAAATGGAAAAGCTGTAGTCCTACTAGTAAATGTATGTTAGAAAAGAAGAAAGCCACATATAAATGAGCAAAGCATCCATCTCAAAAAAGTAAGAAGAAAATGTAAAATAAACCAAAGAAAATCAGAGAAAGAAATAATAAAGAGCTGAAATTATCTAATAAAAGCAAATGTTCAATAAGGAGAAGCAAAGGCCAAACGTGTGTTCTTTGACGTGATTAGTGAGGTTCACAACCTTCTGACCCTGAACAAGAATCTAAAGACCCAGCTCCATCCGTGCTGTTGAAAATGGCAGGAGTTCCTTTCTTTTTACAGCAGCAGCGTATTCCATTGTGTAGATGTGCCAAAGTTTTTTGAGCATTATGCTAAGTGAAATAAGTCAGTCAGAGAAAGATAAATACCACACGCTCTCACTCATTTGTGGATTATAGAGAACAACATAAACTGGTGAACAAAAACAGACTTAGAGACAGAAGCATCGGTCAGGTGCTCAAACCTCAGAGGGAAGGCAGGGGAGGGGGGGGGGGGAGGGGGAGAGATCAACCAAAGGACTTGTGTGCATGCATATAAGCATAAGCGATGGATGTGGACAACAGGGGGTGAGGGTGAGGGCAGATTGGGGGGATGAGAGGACATTGGGGGGATAAGGACACATTTGTAATACCTTAATCAATAAAGGAAAAAAACAAAAAAAGTAAAAATAAATAAAGACTCAAAGCAGCAGCCGGCTCGGGGCTGCGCAAAGAGAACACCGAGAGAGTCTCATGGACGTGGGCAGCAGGATGGTGACTGCGGGACAGGCGAGGGAGGTGGAAGAGGGCAGAGAGGGTATCAATGGGGTGGAAAAATAAAGAAAAAGTGATAATAAAGACAAGGAACAAACCACCAACACCAGGAATGACAATACGACATCACTACGGACATTTCAGGAGTTATAAGATAATATTGTACCTACAGATGTGAGAATTCGGAGCAAACTGAAAAATTCCTAACATGTAACTAATATTGGAAAAAAATATAACTAAGCAAACTGACTCAAGAAATCAAATAAAGCCTGAGAGGGTCCCAAAACCATGAAATGGAATCAATAGTTCTTCCCCTAAGAAAACGTCACACTCAGGTGGTTTCAAGTGACTTCACCAGACTCTCCAGGAGCAGGTCATACCTGAGCCCGGCACCAGCTGAGCTCAGTGACAGCAGCCCCCGCAGCCCCGCCCCGCAGGCGCTGGTGTGAAACGTCCCCACCAGAAGCCATGCTGCCCTCTTCCAGGGGACACTGGCGCGGCTCGCATAGTTAGGAAGGAAGAAATTAAAGACGTGAGAATTAAAAGAAAGGGATTTTATTATTTACAGATTACCCAGCTGTCCAGAAACCCCAAAAGAATATTCAAATAAGCTGATAGAGTTTATCAAAATAGTCAGTTTATCAAAATAGCTTATTATATGATCCACATACAACAACCAACATTATTTCTTGACCAGTGACAGAAAGGGAAAAAATGTAATATTATTCAAATAGCAGGGAAAAACCTCTAGAGATAATGAGGGATGAGGCTGACATGAGACAGGCAAAACCTGCATGGAAACATTTTTTTCAAGTTTGATTGAAAGTCACTAAAGCCCGGCCAGCGTGGCTCTTGAGTGTTGACCTATGAACCAGGAGCTCACGGTTTGATTCCCAGTGAGGGCACAGGCCTGGGTTATGGGCTCGATCCCCAGTAGGGGGCGTGCAGGAGGCAGCCGATCAATGATTCTCTCTCATCACTGACGTTTCTATCTCCCTCCCTCTCCCTTCCTCTCTGAAATCAATAAAACTATTTTTTTTTAAGAAAGGCTTTAAAAATAACCACAAAACAAGTGGCAAGAGACACACTGTTATGCACAGGAAGAGCGTCCCAGGTGAGCTCCCTGCAGCTGAAGCAGGCGCCGTGGAGTCAGAATCTCAGTTTGGATGAGGGTTTTTACGGAACGTGATGGACTGACTTTAAAATTCATACAAGGCAATCAAAGGCCAGGAACAGCCGCGATTCCCTCCAGGACAGTGACAGTGGGGAGGTGCCCACCAGGTCACAAGAAATGCTATAAGCGTAGACTATGCAAGGTGATGACACAGCCAGACAACTGGCCAGTGGAAAGGAATAGAAGGCCCACAATTAGACCCAAACATGCATGGAGAGCTGATAGAAAACAGAGACAGTTTTGTAAACTACTGAAGAAAGAATAGCTATTCATTAGACAGTCCTGGGAAAGTTAGGTATCTATACAGGAAAAAAATCAGCTTGGATCCCTACAGTATCTCATAAATAAAACTCTATTCCAAGTCAATCAAAGACACTTAGGTGAATATCTTCATGATTTCAGGGTAGAGAAATACTCTTAAACAAAACAGAAAAAGTAGGTCTAGAAAGAGAAAGTTCGATAACTTAGAGACTACATTAAAATTAAGAACTTGCCCTAGCTGGTTTGGCTCAGTGGATAGAGCATTGGCCTGGGGACTGAAGGGTCCCAGGTTCAATTCTGGTCAAGGGCACATGCCTGGGTTGTGGGCTCGATCCCCAGTAGGGGGCATGCATGAGGTAGCCGATCAATGATTCTCTCTCATCATTGATGTTTCTATCTCTCTCTCCCTCTCCTTTCCTTTCTGAAATCAATAAAAATATATTTTAAAAAATTAAAAAATGACAATTTGCAGGTGATTGGAATGCTTGCATTGTAAAAAAATAAATAAAATTAAGAACTTCTCTTCCTCAGGGGGAAAGATCAACCAAAGGACTTGTATGCATGCATATAAGCATGTGATGGATGTGGACAATGGGGGGTGAGGGTGAGGGCAGGATTGGGGGGATGAGGGGACATGGGGAGGGGATAAGGACACATTTGTAATATCTTATTCAATAAAGGGGAAAAAAGAACTTCTCTTCATCAAAAAATAATATAAAGAAAATTAAAAATAACTCACACACTTGGACATCAGCCTCACATCTAACTGGCAAAGGACCCCCACTCAGAAGACATCAGTACCCAAGGAAAAGGTACATGATCCTCGATGAAGAGAAACACATGGACAGGATGCACGGAGGAGGACTGGTAATCTTTCAGCCCAACGTTGCCATCGTGGGTTCACATGTTATGTTATTAAACTTTCACATGCATATTTATACATAATAGATAAGAAAAAGGGACTGAACCCTACCTTACCCTACCTTACCTTATACCAAACCAGGCAAACCCAGTATTAGAAACGAAAACCACATACCAATATCCCTCATGAATATAGATGCAGAAATTCTCAACAAAATACTAGCAGATTGAATCTAGCAGTACATGGAAAAGGATAATACTCCACTATCAGATGGCTTATCAATCACAGTGATCCATCATACAAGCCAACAAAAGAAACCACACGGTCACATGAATGGATGCCGAAAAGCACTTAACAAAACTCAACAGCAGCTCATGATAAAATACTCAGTAAACTGGGAGTTAAGGGAAAATCCTTAATCTGATAAGGGGCGCCTACAAAAAACCTAGAGCTAACATTTTATGTAATAATGAAAGATTGAATGCTTTTGCTTAAAACAAGGAAACCACCCACCACTCCTATTCACCATCACACTGGAGGTCTTAGCCAGTTCAATATGAAAAAAAAAAAGGAAGAACAGGCATACAGAAAATTTGCCCTATTCTCATGAGACATGATTGTATAAGTTCCCAAAGAATGTCCCAAACCACCTCCTAAAATTAATAAGTGAGTTTAGCAAGAGGGTCAACCCACAAAAATCATGTGTC